GACGGCACCCTGAGGAGACCCTCTCTGTGGGAGCGTATCGGCCGATGAGAGGTAATCTGTGGCAGAAGGCGGTCTCGGAGATAACCAGGTCCGATGCCATGGCGCGCTTTAAAGATGATAATCAACACCTTGAAGCGCACCCGGAAAGCCACCGGCAGCCAGTGCAGCTCGCGCAGCAGCGGCGTTACATGGGAGCGACAAGTCACTCCCATCACCGCCCGCGCGGCTGCATTCTGGACTAACTGGAGCCTCCGAGTGCTCCTCAAGGGGAGCCCCATGTAGAGAGCATTGCAGTAGTCCAGGCGGGTATTATTGGTATTATTCTGTTCCTACCCTTAGCCATGATTGTAATGTATTTCTATTACTGCATTCATGTTATGTGGATTGAAAACATTCATTTTAAATATTTTAAATTAAATATTAACATTATTAAGGGCTATAGTGACACAGGGCCAAGGAACAGCTCTAACCAGAGAAAAAATTGAGCTCCTTGACTTTATGGTAAAACATAATTAATTTCATAAGTACTCTATCCAGAGAGGATATGTATACAGATAGTCTTCAACTGACAACCAGAATTTGGGACCAGAATTTCTGATATTAAAGTAGTTGTTAAGCAGTTATATCCAATTTTATGACCTTTTTTACAATTACTGCAATTGTTAAGTGAATAACTTGGTCATTAAGCAAATTTGGTTTTCCCCATTGACTTTGCTGGCCAGAAGCCTAGTGGGAAAGTTACAAATGGTGATCATGTGACCTGGGGATGTTGCAACCACTGTAAATACATGCCAGTTGCCAAGCACCCAGATTTTGATCATACGACTGTGGGATGCTGTGACAGTCATAAGTGTGTGGACTAGTCTTAAGTCACTTTTTTCAGTGCGGTTTTAACTTTGAATGGCTCTAAGTTGAGGTCGTTTGTATGTGGCACACTACAAATAGAGGGCATCATTGTTACTCTGATTGCCATTTAAATGCTTCAGCCAGAGCACAGCATTTAAAGTTGCTAACAGATAACTTATTAGGACCCCATCAATAATTATTTTATTTCATCCAAGATATAAAAAACATGAACAGTAAAAAAAGACTGCCACCTCTATAGTTAAAGCCATTCAACTGAGAACTTCCTATCTAGATCAGATTGGGGTTAATTGCCAAGAGGATGATCTTACCTTATTATGTGAATATTTTTCATATTTCAACATGCTGTATTATTTTTCCTTATTTGATTTGATATGGTATTATAGACTAATCAATAAACCATAAACTGAACTACTAAGAGGAAGAATTTCTTAGTAATTCTCTGGAGAGACAAGAAAAGAAGACAAGGCAATTTACCTTTGTCTTGAGAACCTAAGGGTCTGGATTCACCAGGGGCTTTTCTGGAGAAGCTCAAGAAGTAAACATTCTCTGAATGGAGAAATGTTGACGCACAACCTGTCCCACCCTCATCACACCACCTTCAGTACATCACATTAATCAACAGCAATAATGTACTTTCACAAAGGCTACCAACAGAGAAGCAGTCCCTGTACATGTTCAGAGGGCTTCTTACTGTTATCTAGACTGGTGTTTCTCAACCGTGGCAACTTAAAATGCTGGTGGGGGAATTCTGGGAGTTGAACTCCACGAGTCTTCAACTTGCCAAGTTTGGAGACTCCTGAACTAGACTAAGCAACAATGTCTATGGAGATTCCCAGTCATCCAGGTCACGGTTGTCCAGAGGTGCTTTTGTTTCAACTGGACTTTGTTTTTTCCTGGAAGACCTTTCGCTTCTCATCCAAGAAGCTTCTTCAGTTCTGGCTCAGAACTTTCTTTGTTTTTTTCTGGAAGACGTTTCGCTTCCCATCCAAGAAGCTTCTTCAGTTCTGGCTCAGAACTGAAGAAGCTTCTTGGACGGGAAGCGAAACGTCTTCCAGGAAAAAACAAAGAAAGTCCAGTTGCCGTTTGAAAAAAAGCACCTTTGGGGCTAAGCAACGATCTATTCCCGGGACTTTTAAGGAGGCCGAGCAGAGAGAGGACTGGTGGGCGTGCGCTCTGCCTCTTTATTCCCCGCCGCTCCCGGGCTTCGGCGGGGCTGCCTTTCGAAGCGCAGGCTCACCGCATCCCGCAGAAGCCGGAGCGGAGCCTGAGTCTGCAGCGGCCGGTTTTCGCTCGCGTGAGGCGCCGAGTCGCTGCCTTCCTCCGCTTGAATACCTCCCTCCGCCCCCGTCCCGACCCGAACACCCGTACTTGCTCTTTCTTGAAACTGAAGTCCTTGCGGTTCGCGCTATAAGGAGTCAAACGAAAAGGTTAAGCAGCAGGGGAGGCGATTGGCAGCGATAACTTCCGGGTCATGTCAGTTTTCCCTGCCGGATGGAATGGCAAAGCTCGTTTAGCTTGTAGGTGCGACGCTAAGAGTCGAGAGAAGGAGCGGTAGCCGCCTCACCCTCTATCCCAGGGCGATTGCTGCCATCTAGTGATAGTTCCTATTTTAGCAGCCTAAATCCGGTGGCCCAAACAGAGCCGGCTCAGCCGGCTGATGTCAAGAAGTGTATTTGAATAACCACGCCTTCTTGTTAGGCGCGTTTAACCAATGGTGTGTCTTCGCTGTCACCACGCCCCTCTGTCTAGAAAACAGCGAAAAGGGGAGGCGTTCCCCAGAATTCTTTGCGTGGGAATGTAGTTGTTTATCACCGCTCTCTATAGAGATATAGATCCTAGTAATTGCAATAGGGTAAAATAAATATTGTATTTGTAAGAATTTAAGGCTTTCCTATTAATCAAAGTGTTATTAACATTCGATCAACGCAAACTTTAAATTGTATAAAATAGATAAAAACATTTAAAGGTTGCTCTTTTTGTTTCTGTGACGTTAGCTTTACTGCCTGCTGAAGTTCCCTTCACTCCCTCCCTTCTCTTAAAGGTGTTCTCCCCCGTATTCACTGTCTTCCCATGAGTTGCGTGGGAATCCTGTAAGTACTTACTACTGCCCTTCTCTTCTTTTTCAATACATTCCCCTTTACTGCCTGGGAACTTCAGCACCGTCATTTCGATTGCAGTGTCTTTGTTTTTCTCGTTGGAAATTTACACCCTTTCCTCTGGTTTTGCGTCCACACTATCCTTGTTAATCCTGTGTCCGATTAACCAACCCCGGTTAGTGCGCAAGATCCTCGGCCCGCGTCTACAGTTTGTTGGAATGAATTCCGTGTGGGTATCTGACCGAACGAAACCCTGATGATGTTGGGAGCTCCCAGCGAAAGCTTGGTTTTAAATTAAAGTTTTAAACTTTTTTACTCTCCTGGTGATCGTGAGTTTTTATCTATTTTATACTATGGATTTACCCAGGAGTCACATCTTCAAGGATATTATTGAAAACTTTAAATTGTATTCACCAATTTGTTTGGGTCAAATGTGTCAATGCAGTATTTGATCGTCAGTTTCAAATACTGAAAACTCGTTTGTATAAAAAATGCAATCATAATGCTCAATATGACAATTTATTAATCATCACCACCGTTCTGTGAATATTTGAAAATGTTATGTGCAGTAAATATATACACCTCATTTCATATCATACATGAATATGTTTATGAACCATTTTCATTTAAAAGTCTTATAAGTTGTCTAAGGGGAGCAAAAAGATGCTTTGTTGATCTCATCACTACATTTTTCTTTTTCTACAGCAGTAGCCCTTACCTCTTGCACAATAATTTGTTCCATTCATCTAATGACGTGAACTTCATCCACTAAAGGTAACGTCATTGCCTACTTTTAAGGCAGTGGCACAAAATTCTTTAGGAGATTTTCTGCATAAAAGACCTGTATATAATTGAAATCTATAAAAGCAACATTTCTCATAGCCGCCACTCCAATCCGTAAAAAGCGTTGCCTTAAATTTAAAACACTTCAGAAGTGAAATTGAGAAACATTTTGCAAAAACCCAAAAGACTACATCCCCCCGCATGCCTTAGCGGCAAGTGATCCTTACGCAGTTTGCGGCTACGGTTCCCGGCAATAGCGATGATGGAGAGTTTGAAAAACGTACCAGAAGGGGGCGCCTACAGCATAAGCCAATCAAAAAGAAGTTGTACACTACACTTCCCGTCGTACTTGGCAGCTGAAGCCTGCCGTCGCGCGGTTAGATGACGTTACACAGGGGCGTTTCTGCTCCATAATGGTTGAGGGGGCGTGTCCCAGGGGCTTCCGCCGCCACCGCCGCGGAGATTCCCAAGATGGCGGCACTGGCTGAGAGGGGGTACGCGCTGTCCTGCGGGCGCCTCGGCCGCGGCACACGAGTCTCTGTCTTCCACGTCAAGCTGACTGAATCGGCCCTGCGAGCCTTCGAGGCCTACCAGGGACGCAAGGTGGGTCTTCGAGCCAGGAGAGGGGCGGGGTAGCGACCCTCCCCTCTTATTAGGAGAAGTTGGTTATGGGGGGGGAAGAGAGGAGTAGCCGCCTCCTCTTAATGCGAACTCGGAAAGTGGTGGCTGGAAAATTGGGGGGCTCCTTTCTCTCACCAACCCAGGGTTTGAGAGGAAAGGAAGGTGGACTCCCCTTCTCCTTAATTTGGTGAGGGAGCAGGAAGAGGGACCCTCTCGCTCCTCAAAACTAGTCTTCGGAGAAAGATGTCCTCAACCAAAAACAAATGGCTCTTTTAAGGACAGAGCCCTTCTTCCAAATATAGGGGCACGCAGGAGTGTGGAATGCTGCTGATGAAATCTTTTCCCTGCCACAAAAAGAAAATAAACGACCGGGATTAGAAAGAAAGAAAAAAAAACACGACTTCTCTAGCAAATGTAGATGTAAGAAAATGTGAACAGAGCAAGGTTTCTGCCCCTCCCCCCCCAATCAAAAAATAAATACCATCCTGGGAAATGTCTTGCTTCAGCTCAGAGTAAGAACTGAGCAACCGACCGTGGAAAAATATATACCAAGGAAATGTTACGCCTTTCACTCGAAGCTTCTCCTTTCTAACGTCAAAGATGTAGCTTGGCAAAAATCTCTCTAGGTAAAGGCTAAAGTGCCACTGTAGAAGGTAATAATAAAAAAGCAGCTTGTCGTACCTTTTAAATAGTCAGTTAGAGAACTGATCATGGATTGGAAATTAAACAACTGGAGTTGGGATGTTGAGTGCAAAATATAGGACTTGAGTTTTCGGAATTGATTGAACTCTCTTAAAAAGGGGGATCTTTTTTTTTCCTTTCAACAAGAAGGCTCTCTTAAAATGGATGCAGGACACATAAAAGTATAAATCTCCTTATTGCTATCTCCAAATGTGCCATAGAAGTAAGTGAAGAGGCTGTTTTCATAAATATTTAAAAGAATGAAGTGATTGGCACATGGATTGATTTGGGGGGATCTGTTGAAATTAGATACTCCCTTGTTACACCCCCCCCAGCCAGCAAAAGCTCCCTAAAAGTGCCTAACTCTAATAAGATTTGAATAAACTAAATATGAGAAATATCTAAATAATTAGTCGGGTTTCGTTGGAATACCTTAGAAAGAAATATGCTTTAAAATGTTTTTAAAGAACAGTATTGATAACTTCTGGGAAGGAAAGTAGAATTCGAATTAGGATACCTGGCTAAATTGTATAGAGAATAGATTCCCAAATGTTAGAAAAAGTAAAGTTTTTTTTTAAAAAATGCTCCTGGAAAGGCAGCTTTTAAAGGGAAATTTTGGTTTCTATTTTGTTTCTATTTTCCATTATTAGGTGTACATGAGGAGGACCTGAACAGGTTCCTCGACTTTCATGTTGTAGCATAAAGGGAGAATGAGCAATAACAATGAGCAATGTGTGTGTGTGTGTGTGTGGAGAGAGAGAGATAATTGAAGTAAAAATCCATGAGGATGGCAGCTTCCTTTTTCCTTGCTCAATTGTGCTGAGTTTGGGGGGGTTGCCCAAGTCTTGGTCAAGAACTGCAGTGTGAAGAGCCTATCCTGTATAGCAGTGGACTCAAGTGCTTTGAGTATATGTGAGGATTGTAGCTTGTAAAGGGCTCTCTTTTCTCATTGGACACTGGCCATGGGAAACATTTCACCGATTTCCTGCTGCTGTTAAGCAGTGTGAAAAGAACAATTGGGCCCTCCATAGTAAACTGATCGATTGGCTAATAGAGGGCAAACATTGTGACGGACCCATTGAATCTGTGGCTGTTATATTTTTGAAAAAGGTGACAGATTTAAAAAGTTTATTTTTTTAAAAAAAAGTTACATAAACACTTTTTGTCATATGGTAAGTCTGCCTTGGATGGCATTCCAAGGCATGCAGTGATGCCTAACTCATATTTTTAATCTTTAGATCAAGAGAGGAAGTTGAGATAATGCTAGTGATAGAAATATCCTCACCATCCATCTTTTTTTTACTATTTTTCCAATCTGAAAACATAGAACTTCTATATTTTGGTCTAAATTCTGCTATTAATCCGTAACTTAAATAGACCTATTTTGCAGTTTTGGGAAGATAATTAAATAGCTTCTTCCTTATCCTTCATATCCTCAGTCTCAAGTGAAAATTCTTGGTTCTGACTTATTCGCTTCCTCCCCCACTCCTTGCTTTACCAAGAACATCAGTATGAATACACTTTAAAGGGATGCGGGATTTTTTTTTTATTAAGCTGGAAGACTGGAATCTGGCTGGGGGAAGGGCTGTTTCATTGTCAGTCACCTCTGCTGCTTACTGTCTTGTATCAAGTTGTGTGAACTCTGATGACGGAGATGCTGACTTAGATTTCTTGGGGGGGCTGCCAAATGCTGTACTTTGGAAGCTCTCCTTTGGAGGGGGTGTCGAAATACTCTGGTCGCCTAAACTGAACTCTTGGAAAGAGTTTAAGCCATATGGCTTTGAAAGAAAATATTGAACTCCTTTTTTAAATAGTGATTTTAAAAAAAATGTGCCTGTTCTTTAAAATATAACAATTTTGCTTCCAGTTCTCCCCTCCATCCAAGCTGAGCTGCAGCAGCCAAGAGGCAAACCTGTTTATCATTGGCAACCTCAGCTTCCAGTAAAGGCAGTTTGGGATTGTGTCATTCTCTATTTTTAAAGTGGGATGTTGGTTACCCGGTGGGCCTCAGGCGAGCTAAGAAGAGGGCTCCTGCTAATTACTAGCTGAATACTGATCACCTTAACATGGATTTCTTACTGCAATTACTTCCAAGGACATATTCATCAGTTGTAGAAAAAGTTGGAGAGAGAATGATATGAAATAGAGGAAGTGCTTGATGCTTTTCTCCAAAAAAAGGCTTTCTCACTTGTGGAATTTTTATGGATACAATTGTGTAACTTGGGTGAGCATACAGAATAGGTAGATTATATACATTTCCTGAAGAAGAGAGGAAGGGTGGTGGTGGTTTTTCACTATCATCATTCCTCAATTAAGGCAATAAATTACAGCTGTGGGATTTCTTGACCTTATGATCATTTTGGGGCTGTAATCTTTAATTATTGCACAATGCTGTTGTTCCAATGATTGCAATAAAAATTTAATCATGAAACTTCAGTCCAGTCCTACCAGCAATGCATCCTTTATAGAAAACTGGAGTTGGCCAGATCTGATTCTTAATTCTTCAATATATATACTATCTGATAAAGCCTCCCTAGGTTTTCAAGTTGGGGCCTCTTCCAGGAATTAAACCAGGATTCTCTTATATGTAAAGCAGGTTCTTTATTGTTAGCAGTGACTCCTGTCTGAATTGCCTTTCTCCTTTTTAATTTAACTGTTCAGTCTAAACCTGAATGTACCTCTTGGCTGTGTTGTTCACTGTAACACTCTTGCAGGTTTTACAAAAAGAGGCCATTGCTAGAGGTCCTTTCACAGCAATAGTTTGGAATGGTGCATTCTGTTGATGCAAGCTAAACTTGACTGCAACTGCTACACATCCTATCCATGTCCTTTTTTCCTTGTTACCTTCTGGGAGGGGGCTTTGTGGTGTCCGAAGCAGAACATCCAGATTCCGTCACAGCTTTGTTCCATATAGTATCAACCTTGTGAACTCTCAAGTTTCCTTTTTCCACTATGGTATTCAAAATGGACAGTGATTAATATGTATATATAGGTATGTATATATGTATATATAGGTATTTATATAGCATGTATATATGCATTGTGTGTGTGCATGTGTAAAAGTTATCTTACCTATTTTCTGTTGACCCAAACTGGACCTGGCTTCATATCATGTGCAAAGTTGCTTTATTTGGCCATTGGAAAGTTTTTTATTTGGCTCTGAGATCTTAGTTTAGATCCCCGCTTGATTTTGAAACACGGTGGTTAAATTTCTTATGGCCTAACATTAGTTGATACATTGAATTCTCTGTTCATTCATAGAAGGTCCAGATAATTCCTTTGGCCTGTGTTTCCTGCAAAAGATAATAGGGCGTTATGTATGAAAGAGAAAGAGCATGTATACTCAATGAAGTGTTTAGTGCTGGAAAGAGCATCAAAACCCATCCATCACTGTTTTTAAATTCAGATTCCTGCAATAAGCATCATTAGAAGTTGTGGCTTAAATGCCTTTTCCAGTGCTATGATGCAAAGTTTTAAAATATACTAATCTTGTTCAGTGTTTATCTCAGCTCACAGTAACTGACCAATAGGGGAAAAAATCAGAGCAACCTGATAAAGATGGGTGATTTTCCTCGATGAACAGAACTTGTCACCTTCTCTGCATTGCCGTGTAAAGGGAGTTTGACTGTTCGGCCCTGCTGGGGTTGTAGAAATTATGCTGTGTCTTTATGTGGGCTTGCTACACATTAATGCACACAGTATTACAAACATAATTTGCCATCAGGATTAAGCACCCTGTACAAGTGACACCAGTGAGCAATCTATTAGTGATTTGCAAATTGATTACAGATAGATAGTATAATGGTTTGTTCAAAATGGCAGTTCGTGGGGAAGGTCTCTGAAGTCAGCGGGACATGGTGAATGGTTGCACGCTTGCAGTTTTCTGATAAGAATAAGTAGATGCTTTTCAAGGGCTGTCTGATGGATAATCCTGAGCGCCTAGAAGTTTGATTCAGTGGCCAAAGATTTGAAAAATGTTATGTGTCTCTGTGCACTTTGTCCTTGCAGAATGCTGAGGGTGGCACCTGTGAATGTGAAACATCCTTTTGTCCAGCCCCACCCTATATTTAAGTCTTCTCTGACAGGTCTCTATCCTGTTGAAAACCTTCTGGGGAAGGCAGTTCTGCCACACACAAAACAGCTGGGTGGATTTGTCTTGTTTGCATTGAGGTGCCTCTCCCCCTCCTCTTGCTCACGCACATCAAGACCTGTGGTAATTGAATGTCGGCTGAAGTAGTTGTGACATCCTATGAGTAGTCAGATTGGCAAGGAAGTGCCTCTTTGGAGACGCACGTATTTAA